CAGTTTGTGCCCGTTGCCCCTTGTCCTGTCGCTGGGCACCACTGGAAAGAGTCTGGCCCCGTCCTCCTGACCCCCACCCTGCAGATATTTAGAGGCATTTCTAAGGTCCCCTCTCAGCCTTCTCTTCTCCAGGCTGAACAAGCCCAGCTCCCTCAGCCTCTCCTCGTAGGAGAGATGCTCCAGTCCCCTCCTCATCCTCGTAGCCCTCCGCTGGACTCTCTCCAGTAGCTCCTCATCTTTCTTGAACTTTCCCACAGAAAAGCTCTCACCTTCTCTTTCATGTAACTCTTCTTTCACCCCGGTGCACGCCGCGTCGGCCGCGGGGTTGGCAGCGGCTTTGTTTTGATCCTGTTGCCTTCACAGCTGGGTGACCGCCACCGCCGTCAGCCTTAATTGAGGCTCTCGCTCTTGGCAGGGTGTCAGTCACCACGAGAGTGTGTCCGTGCCGAACGCGGCTCCGTTAGCAGCGCAGCGCGGGGCTGGTGCCTCTGCACAGATACTGCCTCAGGGTGTTCCTTACCAACAGACAGGAGGGCTGCCGAGGTGCTGGGTGCTGTGTCTCACTTCAGCTTCTCTTCTGGTGGCTTATCAAAACGGCGTGTTGAGTGTAGCACAGCCCTTAGGAAGAATTTTTCTGGACCGTAAGCAATTTGGGAGAAAAAGGCACATTGGGAATGCCGCCCTGCAAGCCCTGCAGCTCTGCCCAGTGGGGTCTGTCTGTCCATCCACCCCTGCTTCCTCTCCTGGGAAGGGGCAGAGCCCCACCTCAGCCTGGAGCCACGTCAACGCATGGGTCTCCCGTGGGGCTTACGCGGTGGAGGGGCCTCTCGTCCAGGGGCCCATCCCGACGCCTTTGGACACGGGGATCTGGGACAGCGAGGGGTGCAGCTCAGGGCAGAGCCGGGATGTTGGCGGCGTCACGTCTCGTCTCAGCAAACCCAGCGTCCTGAGTGACCTCGCTCTTCCCTCCGCAGCCTGCCTGGCCACCTTGTGCCTCGGGGGATCGGGACCGCTGGCCTCGCTGGCCGTCTGCGACAGCTCCACGCTGCTCTGTGCCAGCTCCGGCTCGGGGATTCACGTCCTGCGGACCAGGGGCCGCGCCGACGGCGCTGGAGGAGGTGGCAGCGTTCTGACTGTAGCAGCCTTTCTGGCAGAGACTGCGCTGCGAGGCGGTGCGAGAGCTTCCCCCTACTGCAAGCACCAGGAGACCCTGCGCGGGCAGCGACGTGAGCATCGGGGCAGGGGGATTTACTGCTGTCGCTAGAGCCATTTAGAAGAAAAGTCCAATTAAGGATGCATTCAGGCCAAGTTTTCGCTCCTGAAAGAGCTTTGTGCATTTTATTTACAAAACCTGGATGCGGGCTAGCTGCACACGGTGGGGGCTGAGGGAGGAGATGAGCTGCGAGGAGCCAGGGCGCAGCGCTGGAAGGTGCCCGGGCGCGGGGCAGGGAACGCTCGGCCTCCTGCCCCTTGCTCCAGCTGAGCGGAGCTGAACGCGCTGGGACAGAAACCCTGCCCAGGGATTTACACCCCAGCACAACGCGAGTGTGAACACAGAACATTCCTTGCTGTCCGGCTGCAAGCCCCCCTGGCAGCCGCTTTACGAGACGCTGAAGAACCAGCCTGAGCAGACAGAGCTGGGTATCGGGGCTTATACAGGAGAAGGCTGCCATGAAGTATTCTTCTGCCTTAGCTGGTGGCCTCTTGTCCCATCGTGTTTTCCCTGGGAGTACGAGCTAGCAGACAGCACGTGGCAGGTGCCACCACGCTGCTGGGAGGGAGGAGGAAGCCCACCACGCTGCTGGAAGCACAGTAACTCGTGAGTGGGGTTGGTTTTTTTCCCCTAAAACACGATCTCCAGCTGCACTGCAAGTGCTGAGAACAGAGCTGTGTTCACGCTCCCAAGGAGCAGGGACAGCCGCTCTCCAGCTGACGACGGGGAGACAAATCGCTCTTTTCTCCTGAAGGTTTTTTACGATGGCAGACAGAAATCAAGCTGTGCAGTACCTGTAATTTCTCCATTCCTCACTCAGAGCCAGAGGCCAGGGTGCACATTCAAACCATGTTTTGATTTTCCAGAACACAACATGTACAAAACTTCAATTTAAACAACAAATAAGAAAGCTCCCCACAGGGGCAGTCAGAACAAGGCAATCCCACACCGAAACAGCCTTCTTCGAATCGCCCCAGGTGAGACACGGCAACGGCTTAAACAGGAGATGCCTCCACGGATCTGAAACACCCAGTTCATGAGACAGCTCAAGGACATGAGATGGTCTAAGGCAGCGCCCAGAAAAGAAAACCTTCCCTGGCCTTTAACATCTACTGCGAATGAATACAAAGGGGAAGGAGACCTCCACGCTCGCAGACCACCGTCGCAGGGAAGCACAGTACCGTGGCTCGGACAGCCAGTTTTGCTTTCTTTGAATGCAAATCAAGTTTGAAGCCACAGACTCCTCCCGGAGGCTCCTGGAGAAGGGAAGGAGAGCAGGGTACGAACAGAGGCTGCGCACCGCACCGCACCTGAGGTGGAGTGTGGCTACCTACAAAGGTTTAAAACAGACCGGAGAAAGCTTGTGAGCCTAACTTGGAGGGGAGGGCGGACGCAGATGGATCATCTCCAAATTACAGCAGAAAGCAGTGTCTGCAGTATATAAACAAAGTCCTAGAAAGTGGAAAAACACTGCCCGAGGTGTGACTCCAGCCAAGCCCTGGCAAACAGAGGCGCTTCAAAACCACCTCAACCCCAGAGCAGCCGGTGACGGCAGGG